GCAGAAGAATTGTCCTCTAATGGAGGCTTAGGATCCAATATCAAAGCAAAGTAGCCCGTGTACTGGTATAAATCAATATTAAATATATCGTTCATCTCATCTTCAAGGTTTGGCCGCCAATCCTGACGTTCTAGTATTGGGTCTCACCCAGATACACTGGAAGATCATCACAACTTTCCATTTCGGCAGTCTCTCGGCCACATACTATGGACTTGATTCTGAAGGAAGGTTCGCTTCCTTGAATCCGGTACCTACCTAGGTACCTAGAGTGAATCATCTACTGATTATTGGAAGTTGCAGTTGCCTTCGAGTCCTCTGTGACAATCACTCTTGGGTTCGCGGAAGCGAAAGGAAGGTGCGAGTCGAAGCCCACCAAGCTCTGCTGCTACTCTCGCCTTCTCATCGTGGATTGTCAAGTGCAGCTGCTTCCCTGACAGGATTCAACTCGGGGGGAAGGCACTCGGGTCACTCGCTGATGGACAAAATCACATCATCCCCCCTCTTCTCTCTTCCTCCAACTCTCTTCTTCCATCCTCCTCCTCATCATATTTTGGCTGGTACTCATCTATCTCTTGTACAAATCCAACATTGTTGAGTCGTTTACATCAATCCAAAACAACATTCCTCTTCATCGCACTATTACGTCCCGCCATCGCCTTCCACCCCCTTTACTACCTTCACAGATTTGCGTGTGCGCCTGCGTCATGCAGAGTCCAGGCCCTGTACCTAAGCCTCGAGCTGGGGGTGATGCTGGTCACACAATCCTCCAGGCTTTTCTTTTCTTCTTCAGCCTGACCAGCTTTATTACATTCATCCTCACTGCCATTGCTGCGGCCAACTATAACAAGACCCTGAGCACCTACATCAGGGGCCCTCGAACTCATGTGCACGATGAGGCACGGGACCTTTTCTAGAATAAAGGGCGTCTCGTCCAGAATCCCATGCATTACGTCGACACAACCTCCGTGCCATTCATCTTTGTGTCTTTCCTCAGCTTCCTTGGCTGGCTCTTGCCTCTACTCACACTCTTGCTCGTATTCACCAAGGCCAAGCATCCCAAGCACCACTTCGCCCGTTATATCTTCAAGATAGCAGCGACGTTCACCTTCGTTTTCTTGGCCATCTTCTACTTGTCCTGGACAACAACTCTTCTCACATTTCTCTTCCCCTTTGCTTCGAAGTGGCGCCTGGGCTCGGCAGCAGTGATCTTTGCCCACATCACCTTGTAAGTCCCCTCTGACCTACCACGCTTGACATCTGCTTACCAGATTCCATAGGTCCCTTGTCATTCTCCTCACCTTATTGGCGGCTGTTTTCGACACTCCCAAGGACTGGAAACAGGAAGGTCCCATGCCCCCCCCTATGGGTGGTACTCGCGCGCCTAGCCAGGCATAATGGGGAGCCTCCAGGATCGGGTGGTCAGGAAAAGGTGGCTTTGTTGTATCAAGGATTCGGACGAAGGCTACACCGTGAGCATCATGTGTCGGGGTCGGGGTCGTTTTAGCATCATTATTGTTGGTCAGTCTGGTATCATTAGGGTGTGAATGGGTCGTTTTGCTTGCAAGTATACTCAGAGAATGGTAGACACAATTGACTTGATAAAAGTCGTTATAATATCCTTGCCTCATTTTGAACGACCTTTGGTGTTTCATTTTGCTTCAGCAATGATATCTTATTTATTACCATGAGAAAAGATTTGGAGAGCGTGGTCTAGTTGATTTCATTATGTTTTATATTTGATATTCTATCTATTTTCCGGACCCTTGACACGAAGCTTTGCGGATCCTTTATGCTAGTAGACCAAACAGTAAGCTTGTTCGTTGCCAGAAGTCGTTGGCCGATTTGGAGATTCGCTGCCTTGCTGTTGCATTGCTCAGCTTGGACTGTTGATAAACCTTGTCCTCGAGCTTTTGAAATAAGTCGCTCGAATCTTGCTCTACATTGCTAATACAATGTCGCAAGAGAGAGATATCAAAAAGCCACTGCGTCAAGAGATCTGCTTTCTGCTCAAAGCTTAGTCCAGAGTTCGTGTCATTGTCGCCAGGGATTTCATCCCCCGTTGATATCTCGGCATCGCTATCCTTTTCCTCGGCACCATCCTCGTCCTCTTTCTCGGTGTCTTGATCATCCTTCTTCGGCTCGCCATCGTCATCGTCCGGCTTGTTAGACACATCCGTTTCCTCGGCAGAATTCTCTGCCAGTGATTTCTCCCACATTTCACACAGCCGTTGGGTCAAGTGCCTCTTCATTACCGACACGGCCGCTTTCGTCCACAGGTCAACCCCTTCATCCGACATCGACAAAGATAATGACCTTAAGAACTGGAAAACCTCCGGTGAGGGCTGATTTGGCAGTGCTGGCTCTCCATCCCAGAGCGGCCTACCCACCACAACCCTTTGGGTGACCCCCTGAGCAGCAAATTCATCCAGCGCAGATTTTGAAACAGCAATCGCCACATTCTCATGTAGCGAAGGAACAATCTTGAGGCCAAACGTCCTGATAGATGGGCGATCTGGTAGCTGCTGTCGAATGTCTCGCATAACGCGGAGGAAGTACATGGCGACCCTGCCATTCTTTGACGACTCGGCTCGCTCGCTCCATAAGCCTTGTATCTGATCTTCCAACTCCTTGAAAGACTTGTCAAGTGTAGTATCGAGCCTCTCCTGCAGCATCTGCGGATCGTCTTTGCTCAAAAGTTTTTGTCTAGCCTCGATCGTTTCTTCGTCCTCGATTTCGTCATAATCATTGTCCCAGCGTTGCCGTCTAAGCTGCTCAACAACTTCCTTGACATCATCAATGACATGGTACCACGATTTATATGAATGGGCCGCCTTGGAAACAGCATCATTGCGGCCATAGAGACGAGACACAACCTCCTGCACGAACGGTGCAGCACCACCAGAAAGAGCTTCGTCGTAACCTTCCTCGTTCCAGATGCTTACGTGCTCATCAGTGATGCCGTCCTTCCATTTTCCAAGAGCGGCAGATACTTCGGAGCCGACTAGGCGAAGCTTGCTGACCTTGGTATCCAGAACCTCAAGCATGCGTGAGTTAATAGCCTCACGCAGAGAGTCCTGCATTTCCGATGGGTCGATGCCTTTGGCCTTACCACCGTCTCGAACCCAGAGCTCCAGAACATTTGTTCGAAGTTCCATGATCAACTTGAATTCTGACATTGTACCCAGAGTTTTCCTGAGACCGTCGAGTAGAACTCCGGAACCCTTCTCTGACCATGTAGACAGCATCTGGCGAGCTTGGCTTCCGTCAAGGTCATCGTGTCTTACAAAGGGTGTGAAGTACTGGATTTCTTCATCGCACCACCGTTCGTAAATGTCCAATCGCAGTCCTTCAAGCTGCTTCAGACTTGGGTCGGCTAGCAATGGATGGCTTTTCAGCCCGGATAGAGCCAGTGATAAACGGCCCGGTACCAAAGCCTGTACGTCAAGGAGCGTTCTTGAGTACAACTTTAGGCTTTGGACAACATCCTCGGCGCTGGTTTTGCGATTACTGTCCACGTCAAAAGCAAGGCCCATTGCCTCTCCTCGCACGTGAAGAAAATGTCGTAGCACGTCTTTCGCACCGGAGCTGGTGGCTAAGCTGTAGGCACACAGTGCTTTCTGCACATCTTCCCTTTCTGTCTCGTCGCCCGCTCTTTCGAAAACTTTCTCCACGTTCCTTAGTAGTCTTCGTCGCAACTTGCTAACGGATGTTTTGGCGACTTCAATAGCTCGTCGACTGCTTGCATCAGTGGCATCGTCTAACAAACTCTTGATCAAAAGCCGACTGAGAACAAGAATTTTGGTAGAGAGTATCAGTCTATCTCCCCTCTTGATATTATCACCCAGTCCACCACCACCCTTCAGTATTCGTCCTACAACCAGTACACAGGCGTCAAGAAGTCTCAAGCGTGCTGTAATAGATGCTGTGGATTTGTTCTCCTTTGCGACAAAGTTGGCAAGGCCCGTAGCTTTGGCGCCAATCACAGCTCTCCCACACTGGCCACCCATCTTGCCTAGAAGCTCCTGGACGACATCGTTGTCATCGCGCATGTGCACGATGGTATCCGCTGTACCGAGAAGATCACGATATGAGCTCCCGACCTGCGTGCGCAGACGGGTCGATTTTTCTTCGATTGCAACATGGAGGCTTTTGTGTATGGCGCGAATCTGGGGGAGAGTATTGTTCGGAGAGAAGATCTGGGCGGACGAGGTGAGCTTGGACGTGTCGATGTCGGCCATTGTCGATCCGTAGCTGTGGTAAGCGGCGAAATCTTATGTGATTATTGTTGTCTCTACACAGACGTCGGTTCGAAAGTATAAGGTTGTTGCAATAGGTTGCGCCGAATTGTTGGCAATTGGAAGAGAAACGTTGATGGTTGGTTGTTTAAGGGAAGCTGTTGAAGCAACGTGGAGTTTGGCGGGGCTATGCAAGGATCAGGCCGCCAGAAGACTTACACCACAGTATTACAACCTACGGGTAACAGTGAGAATATTAACTGAAAAGTAAAGATTCTTTTTTAACGCTATTAACAAATATTTTAAACATTCCAAATCTATAGTCTTGTACTCTTGACAACAGCTGTGTTGATACCAGACAGCTCTCCTTGGTATCCTCCCTTGGGCTCGCCTCCTTGCCAAGTGGGCTTCATGCTCTTCAACTTCTTCTGCTTGGCCTCGTACTGCTTGCGTTTCTTGACACGAGGGTTTCTGACATCCTTGCTTCGTTTGGGTGCTAGACCCTTGTTCTTCTCGATGGCATACGTGATCTTGCGCTTGCCATCCTCGCCAAGCTCTTCCTTTTCTACAACTCGGTCGGCCTTGCTGGCGGCAGCGTATGCTGCATAGCGAGCAGCCTTGTCTTCCTTGTTCTTCTTTGACTTTTGTGCCACCATGTCGTAGTATTCATCCTCGTCTTCGCGAACGGCCTTGGCTGTTTTGGTGTCTTCGTCGTCGCTGTTATCGCCCAACTCTGTTCCCAGCTTGGAGCCCTTCTGTCCACGCTTCTCGGCCTGGGCATTAAGGCGAGCTGCACGGTCTCGGAGACGCTCACGATGAGGAATATCCATATCACCACCAGCATCTCTTCCAGCGCCAGCACGCTTATTCGCCTTCTGCACAATTTGTGAAGTGTAGAACTTGAGACTCTTCTTGCGAGCGGCCTTCTCAGCGGCAGTGCGCTCATCGAGAACATCCTCTTCACCAAAGTCGGAGTTATCGCCATCTTGCTCGATGGCAGCGACCTTCTTCGACTTCTTGGATTTCTTGCCAGGGAGGGGTAGGTCATAGAGATCAGCAACAGCAGCCTCTCCAGCCTTGATCTTCTCGAGCTTCCGTGCCAATTTCTCGGCGGCAGCCTTTTCTTGCTTCGATGCCTTCTTGCTCTTCTTCGTCTTTTTGACCTCAGCGTCCAGATTCTCCATATCCTGCATAAGAGCGTCGTCATCGATTTCTGAGATAACATCGTCGTTGATACTCTTGGTTGACTTCAGATCCTTCACCTTTCGCCACGCCTCACGACAACTAACCAATGTTTCCATAACCTCGTGATCCCGTAGCTCGGCGGGGTCAATGGTCTTTTGAACCTTGGAGTTATCTCTCGCGGGAGATGTTAAGATGGCAAAGTAGCTGGCAAGGGCAGCGACATAGCAGCCAGCAACCCAATACTTGACAGCCTCCAGCGATTGACCCGAGAGACCTTGGGCTGCTTTTTGGAGTTCCACCAACGCGGGTTGCAGGGTTTGGAACTCCTTGACGAGTGGCTCAAATTCGGGGTAGCGGTTCTTGAGTAGTGTGTATCGCTCCTCAGGTCCCATATCATCCGTAATTTCGACCTCCTTAAGGACCTCTGTCACTGTCTCCTCGCCTTCGCCATCCTCTTGACCTTCAGCCAGCCACTCGTCGCCATCGAAGATAAAATCCTCTTCAGCCATTTTGGAGAGTTTCTTTTGCTGAAGGCGCTTGGCCTCTACCTCTTCTTCGAGAGCGTCGGCCTCGGTTTCGATATTATCAGCATTGTAGTAGTCGTTTCGCGAGGCTCCCCACCAGCCGGAGTCACCCTCCTCCTCCTCTTCTTTACCCTCCTCGTCATCTGAGGCGGCATTCTTGGATTTTGAACCTTTAGTCTTGCGCGATTGTTCATCTTGAACGTCATCTTCTTCGGAGTCTGAGTCCTCGTAACCTAGAATTTCTTCGTCGGATAGTTCGATATCATCGTCCTCTTTTCTTCGGCGCTTCGAGTTTGGTTCATCGTCGAGTAGTATTTGGTCTCTGTTCATAAAGTACTCGTCTTCGGAATCGGCAACATCTTCGTAGGTGGTGATAGGCCCAAGGCGGGCATCTGAAGCGTCCAGTTCCTTTGGGCCTGATTGCGCATTGTTGCGCCCTGAGGCCTTTCTCTTTTTGGCCATATTCGCAGGGTTAGGAGGGGCGAAACAATGTGAAGGGAAAAAGAAAGTGATGAGTTTTGGTCAACCAAATATGGATGGTTGCGAAGCCGGGTCGTCGCAGTCGCAACTTTTTTTTGAAATTTTAGGTGATAAGAGATAAGACAAGCTCGCCCGCACACAGCCACAGCGCCACAGCACTTCAACGCTCGATCAGCCACACCCACCCAGCGATAAGGTTAGCCCGTTCTATCAGATCGATCCATCGGCCTTGCAGCACACCACCTCTGATACCTAGTCTCAGCTTACATTATTCAGGGCACACATGATCAACGACTGCGCATACTTTTACTGAGACATTCTATCATTTGGGCCCTTATACGGACGGGCGCTGGTAATCAAGGAAATGCCTCAGCTTGGAGAGCTTGATCAGAAGAGCTGTTTGGCAAGTAACAGTGCCTTGTAATATGTCGGTCAATGACCGATGATTCGCTGGATCCAAGGCGTCCTCCCTGAAATAAGCCCTTGTCAGAACCACTTCGCCAAGCGCTCTTCTAATGGAAGTAGAGTTGTTTGATGCAACAAAGACGGCGCTGTCTGGGCATTTATATTCAAAGAGGTACTTTGGTTTCCGACGTAGGATCAGTTACTCTGCGTGTAACTTGTGCAAATGACACAAGATTGAGTATTTGCATGATAGTACTATCGAGTTCACATCACAGAAAGTTGGTGTATCCCAAGTTTCGAATAAAGATCAAGACAAGCATTTCCAAAGTTCGATTTAACAATTCCATGCGCAACAAGCGCTGGACGCTAGCCGCCTGTAGTAGAAAGTGGCCTTTCACATCGCTTGAGTCAATCACTGGAACCATGGTGGATGCACGCTGTAGCGATGACGAAATGCCGAAGGAATTCCATCGCCCCGGCTGGTGATAGGCACCTCGGGCACGTTTGAAGCCTAATCGTGTAGAGCAAGGTACCTCCTACAATAGACCGCTCGTGTACCTCGATGTCGTGTGGCAGCCCCCTGATTTCTTTATTCCAGTCTGTTCTGCCTGTATGTAATTCATAATTAGTGCACCTCTTCTTTGCATCTTTTGTCTCAGTTAGTGCCCCGCGTCAACACATGCAGAAAATCATCCAGTCCTGGCAGCGAAGAGCTTTGGATAAGACCTGGAACAAAAGTGCCTACTGGAGGTACCCACGGTAGAGATCCATACAGCCTAGACCAATAGGTACAGTACCTAGGTCACTGATGGTTGGATGCTCGGCGTAATTATTTCCGAATCTGGCAGTTGACAGTTGACAAGAGGAAAGAACAAAAACAAAGCCTACCTCGCAAAGCTCAAGAATCAGCTGGGTACTAGCAGTCAGAAGTACCTTTGCTTTCTATCAATATTCATCGATCCATCCATGCATTCCTATCCCTGGGCTTTCACCTCTGCTTTCTGGCTGTTTCCTTTCTGCTATCAACCTGATTCACCCCGCCATCCATTGGATCCCATCCACCTTGATTCAAGCTCAAGCTCCCGTCACGCTTGGCGCGCCTCCACCATCCCGCCATCGAGGGTCACCTGGACCCTGAGAAGGTGACGGTGTGACAACTGACGAACCACCAAGGCTTTAGCAAGACAAGCACGGGCATCGAGATAGACACCCGGAGCAGATCACCCTTTTGTCCTGATTTCGTTCACTCTTTTTGTTTTTGCTTCTGCTTATTCTTTTTCTTTCATCTCGTCCTGGCCTCTTTCTTCGTCACCTTTCAACTAGGTGTTTGCTTTTACCGCTAGTCACTCTGGTTCTATTATTTTTTCTACTGGTACCTACGCTATCT